CATATAAACATACAAGCATATACAAAACCGCACCTGCTGACTGATTGTGGGAAACAGAAATGCACTTAAATGTAGCTACAAATGAACAGAGAGATATAATATGAGGTATAATTTGTTTTTCCCAGGCGGGGTGGGGGAGGGGCGGAGTGAGACATAGTGAGTAATTGAGTTTGTTAAGAAAAAGGACAATTTTATGCTTTAAAAATGGATTGCTTATATGTCATGTTGTCTACACTCTCCTTCTGCTGATGCAAAGTCTATGTCTTCATGGAGTATGAAGGGGGTTGAGACTGGGTTAATTATTTAATATATTAGTTCGTTATTGTCTCAATATTAGCAATTAATTGTAGGATGGGATACTGTAAATCACCCATTGTATGAATCCTGTGCGCCCACCGAAAGAGCGTTGTTTAATATGATTATAATGTACTGACATTTTAAAATGCCACACTTAGATAAATAGCCGTTTTATATAAAACGTTCACAATATTTTCTAAAAATGGCGCTGATTGAAAATGGTGTTTGGCTACACAACACCCCATCTTCCACGATCATCTGCTGCTGCTGTTGCACATGCTGTTTGGCATCGGTTCCGCAAATGAGACAGAATGTTACGCCGGTCTTATTGGTGGGACGTTACGCCTGGCTGGCTACTTTATATTCTCTCATCTCAACAATATCAATAGTGCTTCTTTCCCGTTCTGCCAGCCTTGTAAGTGTGCTAAAATTGCAGCTGAAGCTTCTAGCAGCTTCTCAGTCACATTCCTGATTCTGTAGGGCCGATATGAGCGCCTTGTTGTGGTTAGCGATTTTAAATCTAGACATACTGTTTGAGCGACGTACGGCAAAAGATTTCAATAAAATTATGTTATATATTTTAGCAAGTGATCAGCAAGTCCATCTCATTCAGTCTTTCTTAATTTTACTCACCTACATTGTCTCACCGTGTAAAAGGCCGTATCAAATTTGCATTGTTTGGAGATTATCAGGCTCATTTAAAGGTAAACAATCACTGTAAGAATCCTTTTGAGTACATTTTAGCGATAGGCAAATCACATGAAAAAGACACCCACATCAAAAGCCTTCGCAGAGTAGGATTAATTTGTGATTGAAAAGTGTTGCTGTGCACCATAGATGTGTTAAAGGGGGTAACTCTATGCTGTGCACCGACTGGCCCTTTATTCTTCTCCGAAATGGCGGCGGGCCCCTCAAGTTTGACACTCGTGACGTCACAGCTAAGACCTCCAGTTCTACTTATAACCTCTTTGATCTGGTCTCATTTTTGTAATATATAAGCCTACAATGCGATTCATCACTTTGCTAGAACAGTGTACTGTTTTTTCCTTTCTGTTGTCTTTTCCACCACAGAACTCGTAAAAAAAAACCTTACCAGAATAATCTAAATCTTACTTGTAGATAGCTCGCTACCCCAGAATTACGATGTTCTATCTGCACAGTACCCATAATTTGACGTCAGAAAAATTGAGTTGCACATGTCAAACTTTTTCGATTGCAATTAATTCTTTGAATAGCTTGAAAAAGACTCCGAATAATATTACAATTTTGACATAGCAGATAGAACATTAATTTGGTTTCTGACCTCAGGGCCGTAGTAAATCAAAACGACAAAAAAATGTCAGATAGAACTTTGTAATTCTGAGGTAGCGATTTGTCAGCCCAAGGTTTCATGGGGTTTCCCCTTTCTGTAACCTTGGGAATTACTCATGACATGGCAAACGTGGTTTAGCATTTGGGCAAAAAAAAAGAAAAAAAAGAATGGA